CTACCTTAACCTTTTAACCTAAAACTTAAATTACGAACCAAGGAAAGGAACCGTACGTTGTTAACTTAACAGTCTTCTAGTAAATTTCTACGCCTTACCAACTCTGAGGAACAGCGAAGTGTCTGAGATTTTACTGTACTTCTGTGTAACAGGGCAGCCTGCCACAGTTTCATAAATGCTGGCAGAAGATGCAAGACTATTGGGTCAGAGACAAGACAAATGCTCCCCTGGACATGCAGAAACCCATGAACAGCTGGCTCCTAACGAACAACCTTGTTCACATCACAGAACTCATGGAAAATGATTGGAGAACCAGGCACCACGCAGCTGCCCTGAGAGCTCAGGGGCTAAGGCAGAGCATGGGGGTTAGGAATTCAGCTCTCTACCATGTCAGGGGTTGTGCTCTTTGGGCCTTAGCTTTCTCTTCTGCAAATTATGACCTGTAGACAGCCCGAATGTGAAGATTCTTTCCAGCTCTGGCTTGCTATAACTCGTACTTGACTGGAGCAGTTGGAGTTGCTGTAATCAGACAAGGCATGGCAGTCCTGCAACAGCGCAATCCACGCTGTGCCCCTCGAAACCCAGATTACTAACAATGACTCAGGAGGGCAATTTTCCAAGATTAAGCCTGCCCACTCCCTGGTTTACAAAACACTAATTCGAGTTTGGAACCACAAAAAGCCACGTGAAGTATCCATTTTGTAGATTATCAGATGTAGATTTAAATTCTACACTGACTTTCCTCTTTCATCCTATATTTTCAAGGAAATTAAAATTGATACTAGTCAACCCAGACCTAACCAGGGAGGAAAATCTGTTGCATGGGCATGAAAACAAGAACTGCCTCACGAGATGTCAGATACCACTGCTCAGAATGGAACTTGTGCAAGATTAAGAATTTACACTATTTTTAAACTATCACTACAGACATGAAAAGATGTTCAGCCTCAGGTAATCAGTGGAATACAAATGAATCAGCAATGAGATATCATTTTATGCTCATCAGATTGGCAAAAATGAATAAATATTCACAAGAATGTACAGAAATAGGAATTCAGTCATTGCTGGTGAAGGTGAAAATGGGTACAAGCACATTAGATGGCGATTTGCCAACACCTGGCAAAGTTAAATATTCACGTATTCTATGACACAGAATTTCCAGTTTTAGATATTTATCCTGTCACCTATGTGTGCGAAAAGGATATAACGTGCTAATATATAGTGCTTAGTGATGATCCGGATCTGTCACCTTAGCGGATATGGAAATTCTCATTTTTTTTTTTGGTGCTGATCTGCCTAGTGGCCTGAGGTGGCAGTCTCAGCTTCTAGGTCAGTGGGACCATTGTGTTTCCTGAAAGAAATATTTCTCTCTTGAATAATAAGCTTCTAAAATAGCAGAAATCAGAGAATGAGAAGCAAAGTGAAAATATTTGTACAAGTGTGTTGTTAGGCATCGTTCTCACCACCCCCTCTTAGTTCCTAGCCCCATGTGTTCTGGTTCTGGGAGAAACAGCACCTTAGGATGATTACTGGTCCTGATTCAGAGTGCACCATACACCTTGCAAGACTGCCACCCAAACTCACAAGGTATTTTCTCCTAGATGATGTCATAACTAGGTTTTCAATAGGTGATTTCATTGTTCTATTAAGTCAACTTCTTTTTTACAGCTTTTTTGAGGTGTAACTGACAAATAAAATTGTAAGATATGTAAAGTGTACACATGGTGATTTGATATACACATACATTGTGAAAGGATTCCCACCATATTTTAGCACCTGAATATCTGACTTCCTTTCCCTCACAACTCTTGATCATTATCCTTGGAATGAAACTGCCTACATGGCTCCTTCACCTTCCAATTTTAAATCCAAAGGCCAATGAAGAATTTATCCTTCTTAACCTCTTTGCAGCATTTGAAACTGTTTCCCTGAGGAAAGCTATGTGGCCCTACTGGACTGTAAGATCTGTTAGAGCAGAGATCTTGTTTGTCTTGTTTATAGATGTATTTTTAATGCCTAAACAGTGAGGAGCACATAATATCCACTGAATAAATATATGTAATGGATAACTGCTATGACAAAGAACAATTCTCGTGTCCTTTTAATCCTCATCCCATTGGCTAAATGCAGGCATTCCCTAAGATTTAGCCCATGGCCACCTATTTGTGTGC